ATGCTATAAATGTTAGGAAAGTAATGCTCAAAGTATTCTTCCCCCCAGCACCTTTGCACTAATCCTCCTCTTATCTCCAATACAGAAAGATACATTTGTGCTAAACTCTTCCTACCCATTCACTATATTTCTCTGTCACCCACATCCACAAGGCATAGTGATGTTCTTTGTCCTCTAACCCCCTTCCAAAACTCCGTATTTTTCTACTATTACCTCCCTCCAAAGAGCATTTTTCTATGTCCCAAATCTCCATGACCATTTTCCTATTAAAGCCTTATTAAATACCCTTAGATCTTTAATTCTAAGACCACCCCAACACTTAGGAGTCGTGACTGTCTCCCATATCAATCAATGAAACTTTGAAACTGTCACGCCCCAAACTCAAGGAGCACGACCGGCGCTCAACTGAGAGAACCCGGTCGAGCAAGCCTATTAGACTTTCTTCTACCCAAACTCATCCATGAATAAAGAAGAGATGTACTCCATTAATTAATCACTGAAAAGATTTTATTAACCACTTCCTTTTCATTCCCATTAGCAGCTTCATTCATAATTTCCAAAATATTACAAGTTTATAGAATTAATGAAAATCATAATTTCCAAGTACCAATATTTCTAGTTCAATTCCCAACATCAACCATAACCCACAACCTGTCTACGGAGCCTCTAAGTACAATAGAAGAGTAATATGGAAATGCCGGCAACAAGACCCCCACTATACCTCAAAACGCAGTACATGAGAAATAAAATATACATGACCCCAAAATGAAGTGGGGCTCACCAAATCAGCTGAAAAGAGTGTACTGCTATCACTGATCAATGTCGCCTGCTGAAGAACCACCTGCATCCATTAAAGATGCAGCGCCCCCGGCAAAAGGGACATTAGTACTGTCGAATAGCACTAGTATGTATAGCTAAAAATTCTCTTTCAAAATAGAATGCCCATATAAGAAAAGGCAACATATAGANATTTCATTGGCACCATTGGCCACAAGTTTAACTTTCACTCTTGCACATTGGCCCCACTTTATATTCCAATTCACTTATTTTATTTTCAACCACCTTTATAGGCTATCAATAATAATACATTTCCAATCCAGACTTTAGGTACACATATGAGCAATTTAAAGTCTAAGGCACATAGAGCTATTTCACAAAATTTGGCATATTAGCCTTCATTTGAACTTGACTTAAAGTCGAAGCATTATTAATGCACAACCCATATTTTAACACATCCTCAATTGGTAACATAACATGAATAAAGCATTTGGGATGCTTGTTGAACATATATCTTTTAACCCAATCTTACTTGGAATAGCTAGTTTCATAATGAATCACTCGGGACTTACATAGTTTATATGAATATCGTGGGATTCAATTCCAAGAGAGAAAGTTTAGCCAACATACCTTGCTTTGAGCTTTCCTTAAATTACTATAACGTTCTGGAAATTCTAGCAATCCCAATCTATTTTGAGACATAACAAAATTGAACCATTATTAGGAAGATACTCATGGTCACAGCTCATTTGAGCATTTTATCTAACAATTATGTGCAAATTAGTTACAAGATTCTTCCACAAGGTTTCTTTCACCTCACAACCCAATCTTTATCCATTTGAGCTCAACAATCTCCCCATAAAACTTATTTGTACATGAATGTATAAATAATACTCTCACACCCAAGAATCATACTCCAGATCAACCATCTTTTACCCAAATTCGAAATTAAAAATTAGGGTATGGAACCTTACCTCTTAGATGAAGAACTTGAGGGATTTGTTGTTGGATTTCAAGGCTTGGACAAGATTTTGATGAACAAAGCACTTGAGCTTCTTTCTCTCTCTAGAAACCTCTCACTTCTCTCTAAAAATATCAGATTTTTGCTCCAAAATGAGCTTCAAGGCTTATTTATCGAAGTTGGGTCGGGTTATGACAATAAAAGAATGGATACTCCAAATATTCCGGACCGCGCCACAGACCTAGCCACGCCAGGCTAAAGTCTGGTATTACACCTGGCCTCGCCAGGCTAAAGCCTGGTTAAGTTTGGCTTTTGGCTGGCCTCGCCAAGCTAAAGCTTGGTATTACACCTGGCCTCGCCAGGCTAAAGCCTGGTCTTACACCTGGCCTCGTGAGCTCTGTAGCGAGCTACAGGACAGCCTTTGGGTGTTTGATCATAACTTCTTGTAGGAATGTCCGAATGACAAACGGTTTAAAGCGTTAGAAACTACACTAAAAGGGCTTTAATTTGATAGGTAGATCACCTCATAAGTCGTTATAGTTTGGTAGAAGCATACGTTTGAAGTAGGATCTTGTGCGAATTGAGATATCCTTTCCACTTAATGTATCCTACTTGTTCCACACGAATTCTTTGCATTCACAAAACTCTTTAGTATGTTTCAACACACCTTAAACATATACTTTTCATTTCGAAATAATGTGGTTCTATCCCATGGGTATCCTTTATTACTCTAACACGTTATTCCCAAATACCGTTGGCGTATTTTAAAATATTAAATCGTTAGAAAAATTTTCCGAGGCCTTACAGAAACTATAATGCATTTAGCAATATGGTGAGTTGTTTACAGGGGGCTCATTGCTTTAATTGAATTTTGGGTTCTTATCCAGCAAGGGTGTGTTATGGAGCTTATAAATTTTTGAAACCCCTCCCCTCCAATGTTTGGGGCGGGATTGGGCTTATAGAAAAGCAACCATTCTTCTGTACATTGCAGTTATTTCTTGTCTCTATGAGCTTTTTGCCGGATTATTTCTAATATACTATGGGCCACTTTCGAGAAGTAGCTCGTGAAACCTCCATCATATCGTTGAGTTTGACCTTTATGTTGTCCAAAGTATGCTCAAGACCTGTGACATTATTCTTCTGTAAATATGTGGTCTCAACGCTTTTGTGATTGGAAATAGGCTTCGGTTGTACCTGAAGCATAATCTTCACGTGTCCTGCGTTGAATGAAACAATAGCAGAAAATCCAAATCCTTGAAACAAGCTTGCTATAAAGATGTAATATACGGATAGTGCAATTATGGAAGCAGAAGAAAAAGTTTCTAATGGGGACTGGTCGGTACCTGCCAATTTGCCACAGGTTAAAAAGGAACGTGTCAATGTGTTTGTGGAATATTCTATAATATGGGACTAAGATAAGGGAATAGGGAGATAATGGAAGAGAACTGATAGTAAGAATTGAAAACCTAAGCTGTAGATAATATAAAAGGAAAAAAAATGTGTTTCCAAATATCCATGTAAAATAGGTGATGTGGAGATATCTATTACTATATGAGTTATAGAATGCAGAGAACATAAGAGAGCAAGGGTGGTGGGGGTTGGATACTTAGAATCTCAGCAATAAATGCAGCAGGATATTGCTGCATCGAAATAGCTTTTTGCAACAAGTTTCGAATCTCAACGAAATCAGTCCGTATAAATAAATGCAACAAAAAGAGATTGCGATTACTATAGAGAAAGAGCAATAAAGCTTCCAAAATTGTTGTGATGGAGCAGCAAGAGGCGGAAGAACTGCAGCAGCCATCAGAAGGTGTTTCCAGCCGTCGCTAATGTGCAGTTTGTTCACTCACCCTCACATCCTTCACCCTCTTCCCTATCGAGGTCTCCACCGCCATATCTACACCACTTGCGTGCTGGCCGCCCATCCTGGTTCCTTATGTCCCATCTTCTTCCATGTGTTCCTCCATAACCCTCCTCCCCCTCGCCTCTGTCTCCTCTGCTTCAAATGCCCCTCTATTTCCCACCTCTCTTGCGTCCTTCCTTTTACTGCTTCCTCTCCTAATTACTTATGCCCTCCCTATTCTAATCCTAATTTCTCTTTCTTCGACGTCACTCCCAAATATCTACCTCCATTTGGCTAAATAGTTGGTTGCCGCTTCTTCCATCGCTTTTGAGTCTATCATCAATGTCGTCGTTATGGCTTGGGTTAACGCCGAGATTAGGGTCAAGAAAGCTCTCATGGCTAGGGCCGGTATTGCTCAGTGTTTGGATAGGCTAATGTATCTGCTCGATATCCAAGATCATCAGTTTGGTTCCAAGTTCTTGCCCAAACTTGTTTCTGATACTTGAGGTAATGGTATAGGGGAAAATAGGGTTCATGATGGGGCAACGGGATGCTTGTCTCAATCTTCAGATGCTAATGATTGGTACCTGTGGTGTTCCTAAATGATTAGCCTAGTGAGTTGAGATTCTAAAATAATGCACTATATGGCTAGCTGGCACTATAGCAACATGGTGTACAAGGTTTTTCTTTTTCTGTTTTTGTTGTGTGGCTGTTGTCCTCTTGCAACTTCACTCTTTATTGAACGCATGGGTTATTTGGGGGTTATTTTTTTGGGGAACGAAGGAATTCAAATTATACAATCAACTGTATATAAAGCTTAGTTTTAATGCATTTTGCTATCGAATTTTGACTTGTAATCTTTGATTTGATAGGCTATGATCTATGTATCTCTTTTTTGTTGTTTGAGTTTTTCTTGGCATTTTGGTTTTTCCTCGCATGAATATCCACCACTTTGCGTCTCAATCCTTTTTCGGTTAACACTAGTGCATTGCCTATCAATCTTCCAACAAAAACACTCAAATTGCTCCATCATGTGAAAATTGTCTCTATGCTCTCATTGGTCAGACTATATCATGTCTCCCGCTTTGTATTTTATCGTCTCTCAAATGATTCTTGACATATGTTGATTGTTGATTACTATACTACAAGAATTTAGGTCTTTCTGCAACATCCCAAATTATTGGAATAACAATCAGTTCTATGTTGTTGCATAAATGGCCAGAAATCGTACTTTGTTTGGTATAACACCTTTAGTAAAAGCTCCTTGGTTATGAAAATGGTATTGAAATCAATATACATGCTTATCTTTTATGGTACCATATTATCTTTGGGCTACTATTTTGAGATGGAACATTCCTGGCCATGGATGGCCTCTTAGGAGTGACGAGTAGTATGGCAACAAAATTGACCGCATTTTGCTACACTAATAGCATGCCCGATTCAAAGAAACCAAAAAAAGGACAATGTTTAACGAGTATGGATACTGTGACAAGGTATAGTAGGTTGATTCTTGAACTAATCAAGTTCAGGTAAAGGTTGGGATGGCAGTTTAGGTCCATCCTCTCACCCTCGTAGCTGCCTTTACTTCAAAAAGCAGGAAAACTTACATACTAGTATAAAATTAGAACCTTGCTGGCTGGCTCTCTATGATTTTATTGGTGATGTGGTTCCTTCTCTCTACTGCTCTACTCCATGTCATTGTCACCTAGTTTTTCAGCCCAAGGTAGTATGGGGAACCAGTGGATCCCAACCATTGGTTTCCTTGAATAAATGGAGCAGTTGTAAACTGAAGGGCTTCGTTTCTGTCTGTGATGACTTTGAATCCCTTCCATTTGACTCTATTGTTGGTATTGGCTCCTGGACCTCGGTTTCCATACTCAGCATAGTAACATGTGTCAAGGGCAAAGTTTCCAGACCAGGGCATCCAACCTGCAGGTTGAATGAAATCTGCCAAAGTTGATTCCATGATCACACTTCTTGAGTACATCTTCCATGGCCGTCCCAAGTAGGTAGGAATGTTGAAACGCACAGGTTCCAGTAATTGCTCGGGAACAATGCGGCAGTTCTGCATTATTAAACCTGTGGTCTCCCGAACATTACTTCTTCCTTGAGCTGTCACTGTATTTTGTTGATTGTCCATTGGCTTCCTTGCAATAATTAAGCAGTTCTGGAGGATAGCTGCTGCGTCACCAAAGATGAAATCAACTGTGCCTGACACCACACAATTGCGATAAAATTGTCGATGTGTTTGAGCATACAAAGTGTCTTGATATCCATCCATTCTGCAGTTGTAGAAGGCAGACATATCTGATTGGACACGAAGGGCTACCGCCTGGTGCCCCTCAGGTCCTGCTGTGTTTTGAAATCCCAGAGACTTGGCTATAAATCCGTTTCCAGCGGCACCTGAAAATATTTAATGTTATTAAATTCGAGTCAGTTTCAAAGGGGGAAAAAAATTATTCTCCCTGCGAGAAATCCACATAGCTGGATTCTTTTATCTGAATGTTTTTTGTTTCTTCTTTAGCAATCTTTAAATGTTTATTCATTTTCATGTTTTATGGGAAAAGAGACAGGGGATGAGAAAATAAAATAAACAACTCACTGAAGGAAGCACTCTGGTAAGTAGTGACGCCATCACGGTTGCATTTTTTTCCTGTGACTATTGTCTTTCGAGGTCCATCTCCGTACATGAATATGTTGACTTGATCTTTTGCAACGGTTATGTATTCATCATAAATTCCGGCCTTCACATATATGACGTATCTACCTTTAAGGTTCTTAGGATACGCAGCAAGAGCAGCTGCAATGGTGTTGTATTGTCCAGAGCCATCCTTAGCTACCACAGCGTTTGGCGGTGATTGAGAGTTGTTATTTCTTGCACCCAATAGTTTCCTATCACCACTCGGAAGCCATGAAGGAAATCCATTCTCTGTATTGTGGACCGCCTCCTCATCATCGTTATTAGCTTCAAGCAATAGTCGGGATGTTGTTGTTGTTGCTGATATAGTAGACGAGTTCCCAATGGGGATATTAAATGCAGAAAGGATTTCACTGATTGCAGCTACAATGGCAAGAACATTATCCGTGAGCTGTGTAGCATTTAAGAGCGAGGTAGAAATGGCATTTTTAAGTTCTGGCTGAGTGAAACCATCCATGCAGGTTTGTTGATAAGAGATGACAGCACTGAGCCAGTTTTTGAGCTCTGTTTCCCTGTCAGTAATTTTATGGAGTTCGTTGTCGCCCACTGAGGAGAAGGATGCTTGAAGCTCATCGATGGCAAAATGCAATAGGTCCTTGCAATCTTCAGTGGCCATCTTTTGCAAGGAATCATGTGCCTCTGCTTTGCCAATGGAGGCAGACCTCTCCATTCCAGCTCTAACTTCCTGAATGGCCACCTCAATGGCTTTCTCGATAAAGTCTTTTGGGGTGGCACTTTGGTTGTTGGCCATGGAGCTAAGGCTATTTACACATGCTTTCTTATAGTCCGTTTGGGAACAAACGGAAGCAATGGATTTGGAAGTGGTAGCGAGTACCTTATCGTCGTTGTCATCATGGGATGAAGAGTCGTTGGCACGATTAGTGCCTACGATAACAGCAATTATTACCCCAACAACAACGATAAGCGATAATCCGAATGCAACAAGCTTTCCCCCTTTCATTCTTTATTTTTTTTGTGTTTTTTTATCTCTATTTGTTTGTTGAAGTTAAAGAAAAGCAAGTTAGAATGGAGAGTTCGAAAGGACTAATGCATCTGTTAGAAAATATATTACTTATTGATGGTTTTATTCTCAAGAAACAAAACAATAAATTGCAAATAGGATAATGGTGATGTTGGAACGATGAAAAGGGAAAGAACCATGGGAAATGAGGTCGATTAGTCACTTTGTCTCATCTTCTTTTATCGTAGAAAATGCATGGATTTCCTCTGAAATAGGAAAGCCAAACAGGGGATGTTGGGTGGCTAAGTTTAGGTAAGTTGATCTTTTGTGGCCATAGGGAAATGTTACTAAACTGAACACTAACATGGCGGATATTACAATTAGAAAAATATTATTGATATATTTAGACTATTTAATAGTTCTGATCAATTAAATTTCATAAGTAAATTCTTTTATCTATATTATACAAAACAAAAATAATAAGGAAGGACATTAAGCCAAGTGACAAGCTAATAAAAAAGTTATATTATAATATATAACAATTCTAAGTACAAATGATGTAATAACGATAGACAATGAACACAAAAAGAAAAAACAAATTAAGTGTAAAAATATAGAAGTAATACTTATTTAAATTTAGATGAGAAATTATTTTTGAAATTATTATGAGAAAAGTCATGTATAAAATGGACAATACCGCATACTCCCTCCGTCAATTTATGTGAACCTATTTCCTTTTTAGTCCGTACCAAAAAGAATGATCTCTTTCCTTATTTGAAAATCATTTACCTTTATGCAATGATTTATAACCACACAAAATATATGTGCCTCATTTTACACCACAAGTTCAAAAGTCTTCTCTCTTTTCTTATACTCCGTGCCCAATCAAATGTATTCACATAAATTGATACGGACGGAGTATTTGATATCTTAACAGATGAAGTCAAAAATGTTCTCATTGGTGACATAGTAATAGGTCTTGGATTGTCAAAAGAGTATACCTAAATAGAGAGATGTGAGAGCTTCTCTCTCTACAAAGTTTGTTCTTTAGCTTTTCAATTCCTTCACGCCTTTACCCAACTGTTCCAGTTCCCTAGATTGTGTCTTAATGTACTAACTTCACTAAGAATTCAAACAAACCACAAAACCTCTCTACTTCTTCAGATCCTGAACCACCCGATATTGGTACAATGCAGATGGATGACCCTGAAACCTCGAACACCAAAGCCTCTTTTTTACACACTCTAATCTCTAACACCCAGACTGACTCCTTTGCTAATGCTTCCCAATTTATACATGCAGATATTGATTTATCTGATGAAATCATCAACTGTGACAGGAATGAAGAGAGCTTTATTCCTTTAACTGCATCTGACAAATCCAGACTCTACTCTTCATGGCAATACTCTGTCATTGTGAAAGTATTTGGGAAAAAAGTCGGACACCAGCTGCTTAGATCCAAGATTACAACATTATGGAAGTCTACTGAAGAGCTCCCCCCTAATTGATTTGGGCTCTGACTTCTTCCTCATCAAATTCCAACAAGAAGAAAATATGCATAAAGCCTTACATGGTGGCCCGTGGTTCATCCTCAATCACTTTTTATCCGTTCGAAAATGGGTACCCAAGTTCATCGCCTCAGCTACACATTTAACTTACTCTGCACTGTGGGTTCGACTACCAGAACTCCCAACAGAGTTTTATGATTTGGAAATCTTACAGTGCTTTTGTTCTAAATTAGGACAACTTTTGAAAGTAGATACATGTACATCAGCAACTATAAAGGGACGGTATGCACGAATTTGTATTGAAGTCCCACTAGAAAAATCACTTAAAACCCATGTTTATATTGGCAATCATAAACAAATTGTGCTCTATGAGGGACTTAATCTACTCTGTACCAAATGTGAAAGATTTGGCCACGCGACTTGGAATTGTTACTACACAAATACCTTCAACACTCCTACAACTTCTACAAGCATGTCAGCTACCTCTAGGCAACAACATTCGGACCATCCAAAGATGGAGGAAGAATGGAAGATTGTAATCTTCCCCAAAAAACCAACTACACGGAACAAAAATAATATTGTTGGGCAATAACACCTACTGTTACCATCTTCCAAGGGCGAAGCTACGGCGGCCGTCAACATGCAACACAACAACACAGGTAAGTTTCCTAAACCTAATGGGCTGCCCCAAACCCACATTCCACAATTGCACTCGAGGCTGGACAAAAGGCCCATTACATCAACCACTAACAAATTCCTCACATTAGAGAAGCTGGACCCATATGTAATTCCTACAGATATTAACCTAACCAGCCCAATTCAAACACTCTTACTAGTCAGCCCATCTCAACTGATAAGCCCACTTCCCTTCACACTTTAATAATACCTAGCAACAGCCCATCTACTAACACAACCGCCCAACAGTCCAAACCAACCAATAGTAAGGCTGGGTTGGCTAAAAATGATAGGCTACATATAGCTCACACAGCTACAAACCTAGGTTCTAAGTTGGCCAAGTCAGTTACCCCAAAAACGCCACATCAGATTGAGCCAAGTCCTAATAGCCAAGTCACCTCTTCCAGTGAATCTAAGATCGCCAGCACACCCAACCAACTAGACCCTATTCCGTCGACTTCTAAGAACTCATGTAAGGGCCATCTGCATGCTACAGTAGCATCCCATAGCAACAGTCCTATTACTTCTTCACTGCCAATGAAACATCATCATTCACACCCACGTGAAGCACTCACTAATAGTAGTATCCTCCATATTACTTAAGTAGATATAGGTATACTTCAACATAACCATTCTATACAGACTTCTCTACAAACTAATACTGCAAACCATACTACTCCTGAAACACCACCTTGCACTTCTTCCTCTCTTACCAGCACCTCCACACCTCTAAACAACAACCATGCAATGACCCACTTTTCTAGGAAACCAACAACACACTTACTTGAGGGAATCGATCAACACCAACAACCAATTTTTCCATCTCCCTCGACTGACCATGCAAGGCCCCCAACACCCACAACCAACCATACCTCTGATCTACACCTCTCAACAATACATGATGGACCAACCTCTCCAATCATGGCTAGAGATGGGACTCCAGGGCTATGCACTGATATTCACGTTAGAACTGAACAACTAGGAGGTAGTCCGACTAGTCCAAAATCCGACGCACGTAGCGGAAACAGTAACAAAGGGAATGAGGTTCGGCATGGAAGCCTATGCTCAGTCCCAATGGTACACAACCCAAACACCTATGCTAGTCGACCACCAGCCCTCCAGCTCTCAGGGCCCTCAATGGCACTACCCCATGTACCCACCAACTCAACAGATGAACCATACAATGAACCTACTGCCATTTTATCCCCCACATCACTTGGGCCAAATAAATGCCCCATGATTTCAACCAATCAACTCCTTCAATCCACTCTCTCCATATTCCATACAAAACAGCCCCTACGACCATCTGAGTCCCTTCAACAGTCCACCACAAACACCCCCTCCCTCACCAAACGCACTAGATGTTCAAACAAGCGAGGAGTTAGCGAAAATTTTAGCAGAAATGAGAGAAACCAGGACAAAATTTATCTGGTTAAAGGGCATCCATCTTTACAACCTCAAGGAACAGTACGGAAAAAAATTCATACTCAAATGCCCGCCAGAATTAGAAACTTGCAGCCTAAACTTCAGAATGACAACCAATCGGGAAGATGGGAAATATGCAATGGTGATAATTCCAACGCTTCGCCCGACTCCACATGTCCTGGATCAGGAACAGGTAGCAACACATGTTGCCCTTCTCCCAATCCCAGATCCTCTTGATAACCTTACCACTACTCGTCCTAGAATGAATTTCCTAGTCTGGAATTGTAGGGGTTCCCACAATGCAGAATTCAGATGACACTTTAGGTCACTCTTAGATAATCATAGACCAGCATTAGCTGTCATCTTAGAAACACATGTGCAAGACCACACTGTCCTCCGAGACGACTTTCAATTCACTAACATGTCTCAGGTTCCAGCAGAAGGCCTCATAGGAGGTCGGATAGTTTTTGGGGATAATGCTTTAATCAATATGGAGGAACTTCGAATGTCTGATCAGGAAATTCACTACCTTATACAGGTATGGCCAAATACTTCAAAATGGTTATTTTCCGCTATTTATGCTAGTAATATTTTTCAATCACGTAATATGTTATGGGAAAATTTAATGACACTGTATGATTCTTATAAAGGGCCTTGGCTAATAAGAGGGGATTTCAATGAATTATATCGCTCAAATGAAAAATTTGGAGGGAGGCCCATAAAGGATAATATGGCAGACTCTTTTGCAAATTGTTTAAATTACTGTAATTTAATCGACTTAGGGTTTAAAGGTAGTCGCTTCACATGGACTAATAAGAGACGTCATGGCTATACAATTCTAGAAAGATTAGATCGTATCCTAGTAAACTATGATCGGTTGACAACTTATCCGGAAGCAACAGTACAACATTTTCCCCGCACTTATTCAGATCATTGTCATCTATTACTCACTCTTCAAACTAGGCGCCCTTTAGCGCAAATAATTTTTAGATTTGAAACTATTTGGACCTCACACCCTGATTTCCAACATTTAGTTCAACAAATGTGGGAATCCAACTCCAACTTACTTGAAACGACACAAAATTTTCAAAATATTGTCATGCATTGGAACAAGCATTCCTTCGGCAATATTTTCCAACACAAGCGTAAATTACTAGCCAGACTAACCGACATACAAGCTTCCATACATTACCCAACTAGGATTTTTCTTCAAAATTTAGAACAACTTACTACGGAATATAGTAGTATCTTAAGGTTAGAAGAAGACTTTTGGAAATTAAAATCGTGCATCGCTTGGCTCAATGATGGGGATGCTAATACTAAATTTTTCTATATGACCACTATTCAAAGACGTAGAAAAAATAGAATTACTGCTCTAAAAGACTCTGGTGGTAATTGGTGCTTTAACCCTACAGATATCCATAACATTATCCATAAATACTTCAATAACTTATTCACCACAGAACAATCTCAGTCATTATATTACCACACTGACTCTAATTCCCATCTAATAAGCACTAAGGACTTTCATTCCCTCGACTCCCCATTACAGGATATAGACTTTACACAAGCTCTTTTTTCATTCAAGCCCCTAAAAGCACCGGGGCCAGACGGCTTACACCCTTTTTTCTATCAGAAATATTGGTGTAATATAGGCGATACTGTTAAGACTTTTTGCAAACAAGTTTTTGTGGACCATCTCATACCCCCCGAAATAAACCAGACTTATTTATGCTTAATTCCCAAAGTAAAAAATGCACAAACAATCCAGTATTTTAGACCCATTAGCCTTTGCAATATCATCTACAAGCTAGTTACAAAAATTATTACAAATAGGATTAAACCAATTATTTCAACT